TACACTTCGTCTGACTTTGGAAATAGCAGATGAGTTTTCCTATCCATGCAAATCAAATAACCCTTTTAAATGCTCATCCCAATATAACCTTCATTCGATTTTCTAAGTTATGTACATAAAATTCGAAGGCTTCACTACCTGGCGAGGTTGCTATGACTCATAATGAGCGCATCTGATTGGCCTGACCCACGGTGACCACAGCAGTAGTCTGCATATTGTCCTCGTTCTCAGAGGACTCCATACTGAAGGCCAAAATGTGACAAGTTTACCATTCATAAATACACTTGAAACTGCAGTTTCTTCTGTGATACAAATATTTTACTATTTTTCAACCTACCATTCTAAATATCAAACATTCAAGTATTTTTCTGTATAGGTGCACAGTTCCTATGGCCAGATAGAAAGAATCCGAAACGTAGGACCACGTGCGGATGGTAGATACTGTCAAATTGAACAGGCCTCTGAGATGGCTCATAGCGACACCGTTTGGATGTCAAATACTGACACAGTCCGAATCAGATTTATTATTCTTAGATCAGCTGCTCTTCCGCCAGCAAATTCAAGTGAGTTCACAACTGCTCAGTGGCATATAACTCAATCTGTACTAGAATATTATTATTTACTAAGAGATGTATTATTATTTAATCTAGGATTTTGCCATTAATTAATATTCAACACTACGCGGAAGCATAGTAATACTCTATTATTTTTTAATACCACTGTAAATTTGATTTCGTTCGGAATTCATAAAAGATGGCCGCCTTACAGAAAAATGAGGGGATCTAACTCCCTCTTTCTCTAAATATTCGCATAGAAATTGATATGTTGAGGCTAATAGGACCATAAGCCTCTGTGAATGTACATTCGTTCAGAGGCAGTTACTTTTAATAAGTCAAACCAAGTTGATCTATATAAAAGGCATCTGGCCCAATGAGCCTAGCATAAGAGGTTGAAGGACTAACATATACTTTCACTGTAGGCAACTGCATTACTCTTTTGTTGTCCCATTAATACATTCTCGCGTCTATTTTTCCGAAATCATTGCTAGCTTGGGGGTTTGGCCTGAAATACGCACTCAACCAATTAGTATGCGGTGGTCGAATTCAACTGACCGGTGACGCGACAGGAGAGCAATCACGTCTCGAGGGTACTCAGATCTCGTCACCTGACTACCCACAGTCGCATAATGGATCTGTGAACTGTGACTGGATTGTTCTGGCCCCCAGAGGTCGAGTCATCCGATTCGACATTGTCAGATCTTCCTTTCAAATTACAAAGTAAAAGACTACCCACTCAATTTAATCAGAATTACTATTTCGTCCTCCACTTTTACCTTAACTCGAAGCAAAGAAACTATCATTAAATTTGATTTTTATCAACTCTTGGGCAGCAGAGTGTCTGAAACAAACAACTATTTAAAACCAATATATCGCACATTACGCAATACGTCATAATTTTTGAATAGAATATGTATATCAGAACTCCAACACTTATAAAAATAGTGGATGATAGTTTAAATAATAATAGCGTCGACAACTTGAGTGACTATGATCCAAATATTGATAGGGATAACTGTAATCTTAATAGTAATGTCAAATGGTAGTGAATTTGTAGAACTATCAGTTAAGTATTGTGATGAGAGGCTATTTTTACTACAATGTGGATTTAAATTCGCTAAGATATCTAACTTTGTCCTTATTGTGTTGATCTGGCTACCTCGTAGCCTAAGTCTGTACAGTCAACAATTGTTGAGATGTGATATGCATTAATTAGAGGGGAGGCATCATATCCTCCGACTCCTTGTTGCCAATGCGGTGAAAAATAGAATAATGACAATATAGGTTTCACAATGAATTAATACATCCGCCTTGCTCTAATTGATAAATCTTGCAATCTTACTTATTATTTGGTTTTACGTTGAGCAAAGTACTCTTTTTGGAGCTAAAATATTCTAAGCAATCGATCACGTAATTCATTTTAATGGATGACTCCATCTTTGATCGTGCCTCAATGTTGCTCTTGTCTATTTACAGTTGTTCAGAGAACTCTCTTACGGTATACGATGGAAGCAGCCATATTTCCAGGCCCATTGGTCGACTCTGCGATCAACAATGGATTCCAACATTGAGATCAACGGAAGGACACATGTTTATTCGATTTGAGAAGAAATCACTGTTCTTACCCGCCATTTTTGAAGGCACTCTTCAGCTTGGTATGACAATTTTGAAAGTGCAACTTGGTTTAAATAGAAAAAAGTTATTAAATATTTTGTAGTGATATGGAGGTAATTTTGTATTGCTTCCCTTAATGGCGTCCAACTGTGACTCTTAATATGAAAGTACGTTAATCTATACAGACGATTTTAAAGTTGTCCGCCTTTCGAGTAATGTGGTAGCGGTGGTCCTACGTCAAGCCCAAATGTGGCTCCTACACTCTCAAGCATATTAAGAGTCAGACAAAAATTACACATAGATATTCCTTAGCAGGCGCATAAATATATATATATATATATATACTTATATAGATACATTCACAAATTAGTACATCCATGTATACGCATATGCACACAGAATACAGGTATTACTACATGTATAAATACCTGTTATCATATATGCATACATACAAGCACATAAATATAAGCATGCATACATGCATATATGCCTACTTACATACATATGCACACATACATAAATACATTCATACACACATTCATACATATTCATGTTTGTATAAATGCAGACACTAAATTATTCGGAAATAGCCCTTCTCTCGAAAAGGGTTCATCGTGGGAAAGCCGTTTTTTCTAGATTTCACCCTTCGTGATATATGAATTCGTGTTATTTGCCCAGAGATGACTGCAGCCCTCCTCCTGGCCTAAACTTATTTGCCTTCCCTTTACAATGCATTACTAGCCAGAAGGTTTTATGCTCCGTGCTAATTTTTTACTGATTAAACTTCCAGTTTCCATCAGCATACCTCCTGATTCTTCGTCCAGATTAAGGCTGTGGCAGCTTAGCGCTTCCTTCTGGAGTACTTTGAGCTACTTTCTGACTTTGGAGGAGTGGAGTATGGAAGTAATACTTCTCCCCTAACTCTACATAATTTTTTTATCAATATAATGCCAATATAAGTTCTTGAGCCCTTGCAGCAACACTTCCCAAGGGCAGAGCCATAAGCGGTGTAGACTGAGTTCTAATAAAGTTCCAGGTCCTAGTAGATATGATAAATGTCAAAACTTTAGATTCAGCCTTCTCCCCAGTGTGAAGTTGAAGTTACCATAATATCTTGAATATTTTTACACCTAAATTTAGTCATACTTCATAAGAAAAGTATTTCCTGCGATTTTTCGAAACACATAATTATACTTATTTTCTGTACTCATAATTTGCATTAAAACTGTAGAGCTATTTCGATTTCTACCTTCTGATTGGTTCTTATTTCCATTAACTTAAATGAAAAAATTTGCAATTTTTCCTTCTAATTATTTAGACTATTGTGGAGGTACCATTATTGCCTTAGAAGGAAATATCTCTAGTCCGAGCTATCCGTTGGAGTCTTCCCTTTCTGAAACAGTGTGCATCTGGAACGTGAGAGTTCCCCACGGTTTCGGTATCACATTCAAATTAATTTCGAACAACTTTTC